TCCATTCCTTTTTACTTTTTTAGTGTTTCTGTACAATTTTTTTAAATTATATAATGCAATTTTAACAAATATAAGATAAGTTTATTTCTTAAAGATCACTGTTTTTGCATGTATCAGACTGTCAATGCCATAGTATTATAGTGGCCTTTAAATTAAATAGAATATGCAGCAATGCTGTTGACATGGAGCATGATTTGTGCCTCTAGAAAGTGAAGTTGTGGGTAGAGGATATAGTGTCCTGGCATAGCTCTTTCCATTCCGACTGATTCAGCCAACAGCACACCTGGTGGATGGCGCAGCGCCAAGGCTCCATGGACACACTCTCACTTCTGGCACGAAGACACACCAGCACACGCATACACACACACACACACACACACACACACACACACACACACACAGGCTGACACCAGAAGGGATGTCATATCTCAAGCTAACAAGCACAAATGAGCACATTCACGCAGATATATGCAAACTTGGACACACACTGGGGCACGTTGGATGGCGTACACAGTGTCCAGAGGGATAGGCATGAGTGGCACAGCGGGCATAGATTACCTTTGGCCCACAGTGGCTGTATTTTACATACAAGCACACACACACACACACACACACACACACACTCGCGCTCACACACTGTCTCTCACACTCCTTTCCTTGCAATTAAGCCCAGCAGCTCCCATTAGATGCTTTGGCTTAGAAAGGACCATCTTCAAATGGCTGTCCAGCTTCTCCACAAGCCCTTAACAGCCGCACTTGGAAGCTACATGAACTTTTAGCCATAAAGTGTCAGTAATGATCGACTGTTTTACAGAGTGATACAATTACATAGAAGTAGGACATATAACGGAAGAATATGTTCCCTTAAATCTCTGTAAATAACAGGATGTTTATCTTCATTATACAACTTGACAAGTGTAAATGAGTGTAAAGACATGAGTTACCAACAAATGTGCTCATATAATGTGAAGAATGCAGACAGCACCAGATACACATTCACACTCTCTGATGGGAGGCTGGCTTATCAGATTACCCATCGCCAAGCTAATAGATTCTTAATAGATTGTTTTTGATTAGTTCCTCTGGTTTAGTGACGTTAAGATGATTAACTGTTGTGTGTATAGAAACAAATGCACGTTTGTGTTCACCCGCATACATTTGCATACAGTTTTGTATTAGTTAACAGAAAATGCGATTACTGGAATTATTTTGTGTTTGTTGTTGTGCTGTCACATGGCTGTGAGATGCTTTGGGAGCATTTCAGGGCCACAATATTCGAGCCGGGTATAGAGTTCACTGTCTCTTTTTCTCATACATACACACACACACACACACACCCAGACACACAAATACCCTTGAGATACACAAACAACTCTAAATGCAACAGCTCCCTCCGTTCATCCTTCTCACACAGCATGGCGGCGTCTCCCGCCGTCTAACTAATTACTCCCCCACCCGGTGTCCCCCCGGAGGGAAAAGCTTCAGCCTGGAGCCTTTACACAATGTTAGCAGGCTTGGTAACTTGCCCCCCAGCCTTTCTGTCTTTAGCCTGCTTGCCTCCTGACCACTGCTAGCCATATTGCATTGACCCTGTGGCTAATCCTGTTAGCATAATAGTTGGTGATAGCCAAGCGGAAAGCCAATCCCCCCAATGCTGGTCTAATACCCTCTGGCAAATCTTTGAGCGTAACAGTTGGCTGAAGTGAACTCACTTGTTTTGTTATTAGTTCTTTGTGCACAGGGCAGCAAGTCCACTCTAATTATTGAGTTGAGTTTTCATTTAATGCTAATTAAGAGGAGTAAGTTGTTCCAGCAGTGGCTTAGGTTCTTGTTTTTAGCGTTAGCAGAGCTTGCAAAGAAACACCTAATGGCTTCATTATTGGTGCAGCTGACCTTGTGGCTTCAGCACTTCCGTCTGCTAAGCCCTTAAAAATGAAGAAGTATGCATTTAAGAGGAGGCTCTCTGGGCACAGAGTGTTATTCACTTCCTTGCAGAGGGTTATTTCTTTCTCTTCTCCCAGTTCTGAGTCTCTTAACACTGAGAGACAGCGATATCATCGTCTCCTCTTCATGGTAAAATATTTATCCATCCTTTCCTTTGGTTCAAATGTATCAAACTGATGGAGTCTTTAATTAGTCATGTATGCATCTATCTCTCTTCTCCCTGTCTGTCTCTTGTTCCCCCTTCAGTTCTTGTCTCTTCCACCCAGCCCCTCTGTTTTTCTCTCTTTGATTTACTCACACCATTGCTACTCTCTTTCTGCTCCTCTCTTTTCTCCATGGAATTAGTCATTAGCTGACTGACTGAGCTGATTGCATCTATTCCCAAGGCTAGCATTTGTTTGTGCATCTTCTTTCTTTCCCTCCCTGCCTCGCTCCCCACCCTCTCTGTCCCAACTCAAGTCTTTCTCCTTCTCCTCCCATCTTATGCCCCCCCCGAAAAAAATCCTTTCTCCACACCATCGCCCCCATAAAATGATCTTGGCCACAAATACTGCTACCACGGTACACGTACTCTCCCCCAGTTCCCTCCATACCTTCTCTATAACCTTAATTGCACGGTGCCATTTTAAATTGGCTAACATCAATTAAGGCCTCACTCTAATATTTAATTGGTCATTTAGCTTGGCTACTGTTTGAATGCAGTGTCTCTCAGGAAATGGTTCAGTTGGCCTCCGACAGCACATGTGGCCATTTCGGAGACGGTTTCCACCTCCCTGTGGGTTTCACAATGGTCTGGCCAGCTACTGACACTGCCAAGATGGAGGGGGGGGGTGTAACAAATGGCAGGGGGAGAGATATTCTCCTCTGTCTACCCTTTCCTCTCTTCCACCTCTCTCTCCAACCATCCTCACACCCCTCTCCTTCTCCGCTCCTCAGTCCATGTGTTGCCGGTGGATTAAGCTAATTAAAGTACCGTAAACAGGCTCCCCAGAGAGAAGATGCGTACACATACACTTTTACACACGAACACTCGTTAACGGATGCAAAGTACACAGATGCCCACCATAGGAAAAGCAGGCAGGAAACAGGAGAACATGAACACATGGATACAGAGACATGCAACGCACACGGCATGAACTGCAGCGGCAGATAGTGTTTGCATGTGCGGCATCCAAGGACGCCTTATGCATTACAGTGGTGGTCATTATATGGTCCTGTCAAAGCACCATGTAAATACTTTATGGGCCACTTTCATGCTCTGTAAACAAGCTTCACTGAATTTCAATGGATTTCCGTGCGGATTGAATTATTTGTCATTAGTGAAGAGCAGAGCTGAAGACCATGTGACCCCACCCCACTGTTTGATGCTTACCCTGCATCCTCGGCCTGTGTTCACCCCAAGCTTCAGCCCAAGGACTCCCAGCTATGCGTTATCAACCATAAGAGCCTTGTTCGGTCTATTTATGGGTCACTGGCAGAGAACTAGTGGCCCAGAAATAACATCAGACAATCTCGCCTGAACCTCGGTTTCGTGTGCGTTTTATTTGTGTGTGCGCATGATCTGAGAGAATATGGTTGGTAGTGTCTGTAGTGTGGCAGTTAGGTTGTTTTTAAGACGTGATTGACAGCCAGTGTGGGAGCCATCAGGCCCTTATGCGTATGAACTGGTGTTCATGTCGAACAAGTCCGGACATATCCCGCGTCTGGCTAACAACTGAAGCTTGAATGTGAATCGAGACAATGTCCTGGAGACAAAAAAAGAAATGGGCGGAACAGATGAAAGAAATGCCGAGGACGGAAGGAACCCCTTTATCCTGTCATGGAGAAAGACAGGAAGAGAGGGAACGCTCTGTCTCTTGGTTGGAATTCCTTCCGGATGTTTCTGCTTTCAGGATATTGGCTGTGTCTCTGGAAAACTGCCTGCTTCCAGGGAAACCTATTGGATTACTGATAACCTTGGAATGGATAGGGCCAGCACAGAGGGTGTGTACAAGAGAGAGAGAGAGAGAGAGAGAGGGAGGGGGAGAAAGCGATGAGTGCATGGGCTTCTCCCTCACTTTGCTTCACTCGTCTTTTCCCTTCCGTTTTTTGTATTCTTTCTCTCACTCAACTGCCCCTCCATTGTATTCCCCTGAAGTTAAATCAATGACGAGTCTGGCGTTAAGTATGAGTGTATACCTTTGGCTTTCATTGTTCCCTCTAAATTGTATTTGTCCCCCCCTGTGCTATGGTGAGGGTATGGCTCTTGACTGCACCGATTGCCCCCCC